GATCTGGATCAGGATTCTGTGAGGGTCTGGCCTTGGATCGGGGCTCTATGAGGGTCTGGATCTGGATCAGGATTCTGTGAGGGTCAGGCCTTGGATCAGGGCTCTGTGAGGGTCTGGATCTGGATCAGGGTTCTGTGAGGGTCTGGCCTTGGATCAGGGTTCTCGTCCAGAACAAGGAGCTGCAGCTCAAAACACTCGACCACCAGAACCTCCAGGAACACGTGTCCAGCACAGTGGTGGCAGCATCATGGTCTGGGGGCATTTGTCTGACCAGCAAGTCCAAAAGCCCGGTTCTGATGGCCGCATTAGTATAGAAAGTCCAGCAACACCTGCTGCATTCAAGGACCTTTTTGTAGTTCGAAAATCACAACCGAGGAAGACGAGGGGACGGGTTCTGGACTGGCTCGCCTGCAGATCTGAAACTTTTGAACCCCTTCAGACCACCGTACACCTAAAACTCTTCATCGCCTGGTTTCCTCATCGTCATCTTATCGTCTTCTAAATTGAAAAAGTGAAAACTCTGAAGGGAAGCCGGTTTACCGAGGTATGATGAGAAAAAAGGTTTTTCTGCCGTGTGGAACTGAAAACCCGGCGGAGAACATTCGGGTTTCACTGGACGGTCATTTTAAAATCAGAACCTGAAGGAGACGGAGGAGGTTCTGCTTCTGGAGGCTGAAGTCTAACGAGCTGAAACTGAAGGAATGAAGGAGGACCGGAGGAGACCGGCTCTGAGGACGGGTTGAGGTGAGGATCATGTCCGGACTCGATCAGACTGCACAGACTGCCGACATCGCCTCGGGGTATCCCAGCATGCAACAGGAGGGCAGGATGTCTGGACCTGTGACTTCCAGGAAACTACAAATGTTTCATTTTTACTTCATTAAAACTTTCAGAAGGTAATAAATGGATGTTCATCTACAAGTGGTTAACTTCAGGAGTCGTCCGATTCAAGATGGCTGCCACGCCCAAGACACGTCAGACAAGACTCCGTCAGTTTTACATACAGAACCTTGTGAAAGTATTGGGCCCCTTGAACTTTCAACCTTTTGCCACATTTCAGTCTTCAAACATAAAGATACAAAATGTTAATTTTTTGTGAAGAATCAACAACAAGTGGGACACAATCGTGAAGTGGAATGAAATTTATTGGATGTGTCAAACTTTATTAACAAATAAAAAACTGAAAAGTGGGGCGTGCAGTATTATTGGGCCTCTTTACTTTCAGAGCAGCAAACTCAGTCCAGAAGTTCAGTGAGGATCTATGAATGATCCAATGTTGTCCCAAATGACTGATGATGATCAATAGAATCCACCTGTGTGTAATCAAGTCTCCGTATAAATGCACCTGCTCTGTGAGAGTCTCAGGGTTCTGTTCAAAGAGAGCATCATGAAGACCAAGGAACACACCAGGCAGGTCCGAGATACTGTTGTGGAGAAGTTTAAAGCCGGATTTGGATACAAAAATATTTCTCAAGCTTTAAACATCCCAAGGAGCACTGTGCAAGCAATCATATTGAAATGGAAGGAGTATGAGACCACTGCAAATCTACCAAGACCTGGCCGTCCCTCTAAACTTTCATCTGGAACCAGGAGAAGACTGATCAGAGATGCAGCCAAGAGGCCCATGATCACTCTGGATGAACTGCAGAGATCTACAGCTGAGGTGGGAGAGTCTGTCCATAGGACAACAATCAGTCGTACACTGCACAAATCTGGCCTTTATGGAAGAGTGGCAAGAAGAAAGCAATTTCTCAAAGATCTCCATAAAAAGTGTTGTTTAAAGTTTGTCACCTGGGAGACACCAAACATGTGGAAGAAGGTGCTCTGGTCACATGAAACCAAAATCCAACTGTTTGGCCACAATGCAAAATTATATGTTTGTGTCCAATCCTGGTCCTGGAGGGACACTCATCTGTCCAGATGTTGGTCCATTTCCAACACGGCAGGAACACATGCCTGACCTCATCGTAAACAGAGTCTACACCTTGGTCCAAGACCCAACCCCTAACACAAAACCACCGTATTAAGACAGGGCTTTGGTCCCCAAGAAGACCTGAGAAGGTAACAAAGACCAGGCGCACACAGTAAGCTCCAGAAAGACCCAAGACAGGATTTGTTTTCAAATTCACTTCAGTGGTTCTGATCGGTGGGTGTTGGTCTGTGGGAGGAAACCGGAGAACCCGGAGAGAATCCACAGGGTTCATGTAAACTCTGCCCAGAAAGACCAGGAAGTGGTCCTCAGAAAGTCCAAGAGTGCCGAGTTTAACCTTCAACTGGGCTGTCTGGATGTTTCGTGAGTTCGCAGCAGGTCAGGCGAGTTAAAGACCGGCTCTGCAACCATGACCTGGTTCCTCCAGGCACACACACGTGCACACGCTCGTGCATGTTTCTGTGGGGTTTGTTGGGGAAGAGAAGGCCGAGTTGTGACAGGCACGCTTCACCAAAACCAAGAAGTGCGACTTGACCGCACATTTACAGAAGTCAGGGAGAGACAGGAAACGTCCAATACGACTGAAGAGAGAAGAAAACTGAAACGCTCCGAGTCCAAGAGACCAAAAAACTTTAGCTACAACACGCTACAAATACTACAACACGCTACAAATACTACAACACGCTACAAAATACTACAACACGCTACAAAATACTACAACACACTACAAATACTACAACACGCTACAAAATACTACAACACGCTACAAAATACTACAACAC